TGTCTTCTAGGAGTTACATGGTTTCAGATATTATATTTAAATCTTTAATCCATTTTGAGTTAATTTTCTGTGTATGATGTAAACCAAGTATGCAACTTCAATCTTTTGCAGGTACTTTCCCCAGCAACACTCCCTGAAGAGAGTTCCTTTCTACACTGTGTATTTTTTTCTTAGAGTAAAGTGGAAGCAAGTCTATTAAGAAAGTAAAGGAATAAAAGAATCTACATTGTGTATCCTTGATGACCTTCTCAAAGTTCAGTTGACCACATATGCATGGGGTTATTTCTAGGTGAGCTTGGCATTTTTGTCTCCCTCCTTTTACCAATGAGGAGGCCAAGTCTCAGAGGGTTCACAGACCAACCTAAGGTCACTCAGGTACAGGTGGTACAACCAGGGTTTGAACTGAGATCTCCCAAGTTTCTGAGTTTCTTCTCTTTCCCCCACACCAGGGTTCCTCAACACAGCATTACTGACATCAGGGACCAGATAATTCTTTGTGATGGGACTGTCCTCCGCCTGGCAGGATGTTTAGCAGCTTCTCTGGCCTCCACCCACTGGATGCCAGGGGAATGCAGAAGAGGCTCCTCATTCTTCCATTTCATCCTCAGGACAATATCTGACATAAATGTTATGTCTTTTATTTTATAAATGAAGCAAATGAGACTCAGGAAGTTTTAAGTGAGTTACCTAAGAGCACACAGACAGCAAGACGTAGAACTAGAAAGTGAACACAGGAGTCCACATGGGACAACAACAAAGTTCAGGTTCCAGCCTCCTTTGAGTCTCTCATTTCAACAATTCCCATTGTCTGGATATGAGCTGAAGTACAGGAAACCTGGGGCTGAACTCTCCTCCCATCAGGCCTAGGACCCCAGACCAGAACGCCAGCCCATGGTCTCCCAGTCAGGCCCACTGGAGTGAGCTGGCATCCACACTAGCCTGGTTTCCCAAAGCTACAGGGATGCCAGTCTCACTGCGGAAGAACAAAATGAAGGGCGTTTGCTTCTCCTGCAGGTTGCCAGGATTTAACACAGATTCCTTCTCTTGCTCTCTTCTCCCATAGCACAAAACAGGGTGATCCATCCCCCTTCCAGTGTCCCAAGGCTTTGTTGCATGTTCTCTTTAATTTCTCTCACCCTCACAATGCACCGTACCCGCGTCTCCCTGGCAAAATTTCTGCTCTATCCTCTTGACACCTGGATCACAAGAACACCTGTGAGGCCCCTTAACCAGCTACAACCAAAATTGTCATTCCCCTGTGTCCTCAGCCAGTGCCCACGCCCAACTTGCTCTCCTGGGGTGACTTCCTTTCCTGCCCAGTATGGCTTCATCATCTGTAAATTGGGGATAATTAAAGTCTTTATCCTGATATTTGGCTCTCAAAGGAGAAGTAGCAAGCTCAGCCAAGTCATGTAAACAAGAGGAGACGTTCCTTGTGAACTGAAAAAGCACTGGTCACAAGGGCTGCTCCTTCTCTCAGGCCTCTCCAGCACACGCTTGTCTCAGAAGAGACTCAAGGTGTGCTTCTGTGCTGTCGGGATAACATAGGAGGTACCTAGTCCTCGACCCTGCGACTTTAACAGTTTCCTCCTGTGGCTCAGTTCTACAGCTTCAGTGACACAAGGTGACTTTTGCTCAAAATAGCCTTTGACAGGTTAAGTTAGTCCTCTGCCACTCTAAGTCTGTGTGGAACAGTTCTAAGTAAAAGACATTTATTCCTCTGATCCCGAGGAAGGAAGGGAAACGCAATGACATTAACCATGTGTTGGACTTTAGCCTCTGGAAAACCCTGGTGTTGGCTGCTGCCAATGCAACCTGGGATAGTGTCACAAACATCAAGCGATGCATACCTGTTCTTATTCAGCAGAGACACTTCCTCTTTATCTATTTCTGGGTGAGAACCAGCACCATTTCCCTGGTGACAGGGGCCCCAGCTAGGAACCATACAGGGTAGGATGCTACCCTACCCTAGACACCCAGCAGGGAAAATGCCATTTTGCAGATGCAGGAGTGGTTAGAGTTTGAAATGGTCATGCTGGACTGCAACACCACGTGGGTCCTCAAATGATTATGAGTTTCTGTCCTCAGGCACATAAGGCCCCAGCAGAAGCAACCTGGGTGGACCTGAAACGGCATGGCTATGTGTGTCTGCTGGGGAATCACAGAGAAGGTTTCTCTTCAATATGAACCTTAGGGCCAAGTGAGCCTGGCTCCAATCACAGCACCACCACTCACCAGCCTTGACTGTGAGCAAGTCGCTTAGGCTCTCTGAGTTCCAGCTCCCTTGTTTCTCTAATGGGAATTGGATATCTCACTATAACCCTGCTTTTGTGCAACTGGCACACATGAGCTGCTTGCTAAGTATGAAAATCCCTCTTCTCCTTCTCTTTCCCTGCTGATCAACAGCTGTGGCCAAAAGCTGACTTTAGCCAAAAGCTAAATGTTTGCAAAAATTTAATATACATTTATATTAAATATAGAAATAGAAACAAAAGGGCTAAATCTGCCTATGTTACAGGATCTCAGTTAATGCTAAGAGCTCAAAAGACCTGGGTCAATTACATAGTCTCTTTCTCTGCCAAGCCCATTAAAAAGTCCCTAAAATAAAGGCTATGGGTCTTGGGTTATCCCAGAACTTTGAGAAATAAAGAGGGGGCCTCTGTGCTGGGTTGTGTGAATTGCACCTCTCACCTGACAGTGGCTTGTGGTGTCCCTGGAGTCTAAAAGCTACATGATGCTCCCTGGGAAGTGGCTGCTTTCTGACTGGTATGCTTGGATCTGTGCCATGGACAGTCACTGGTGGCCCAGAAATCTTTACTTGTTTCAGGCTGCTCCAACTCCAAAAAATAATGTGTCCACCCTACCATTGTTCTCCTCTTCACTGAGCTTCCCTTTCTCAGTTACATGCTGAAACCCAAAGACTCACAAATATCACCTTCTCCTACGCCAACAAAATGCACAATGATGTAACCCCAAAGTCTTCCAGCCTCACTAGCCTGTAGGAAGGAATGAAATTACATCTGAAACACAGCATGGGCTGCCACTCCCTGAATGTAATATGACTATGGTATTCCACAACTGTAACACCGCCATTCTTTCGTAAAATATTCATAGTTGTTCCACGGCGGGCAAATCTATGCTAGCCTACCCCCAAAGTACAATGAACCTGAGAGGCTGAAGAAAGCTGCTGACAAATTCTATCTCTTAGAAAGTGGCTGGGTGCGGTGGCTCATGCCTGTAATCCCAGCACTTTGGGAGACTGAGGCAGACAGATCACCTGAGGTTGGGAGTTCGAGATCAGCCTGACCAACATGGAGAAACCCCGTCTCTACTGAAAATACAAAAAATTAGCCAGGCGTAGTGGCACATGCCTGTGGTCCCAGCTACTCGGGAGGCTGAGGCAGGAGAATCACTTGAACCCAGGAAGCAGAAGTTGCAGTGAGCCAAGATCACGCCATTGCACTCCAGCTTGGGCAACAAGAGAAAAACTCTGTCTCAACAAAACAAAACAAACAACAAACAAACAAAACAACAAAAAAATAAAGTGATATTTAATAGGGATTTACAAACAGAAGCCATGTCAGTGTTTGGTGGTGGAGAGATGAGAAAGTGGATCCCTGCACCATTACCCCGCAGACCCAGGGCTGATATACGACAGGGAAAGGGTATACATGATTCAGAAGTGATGTGTAAGACAATTAAAGTATGATAACAGCAAAGCTGTTTTGACCTAAGGGGAGCATTTACAGTAAGTATGTGCTCTTACACAAGGAATAACAGATAAACTGGAAATCTTAATGGCCTTCCCAGAGCAGAGGTTAATCTGAAGTCAACATGGCAGATTAGCATCCAACATGGAGTTGCTTTGGCCTCCACATAGTGACTTCAAGAAATTAAGAATCCCCAAAGGTAGCCACTCTCTGATATAACATGTCCTAGTATTTACATATAAGCTCTGCATATCCTCCCGTAGACATTAGACCATTACTAGATTATTTATGATATGTAATACAATGCAGATGCTACATAAATGGTTGGGATACTGTATTCTTCAGGGAATGATGACAAGAACAAAGTCTGCACATGTTCAGTAGAGACATAACCACCCAGTTTATTTTCTGAATATTTTCCATCTGCTGTTGCTGAATTCACAGATGCAGAGCTCCCGGATACGAGGGCCAAGCGTGCTTTGAGAGTAGGGTGGGTGAGGTTGCTACTGAGTACAGGGGAACAGGTGTCGATCAGGAGGGCCCTGCATTGGGGCATCTGGACGTCCTGTCTCAGGACTTGAAACTGTATGGCACAGGCAGACTCAGCCCAGGTCAAAGCCCAACCCTTGAAGCTTCATTTTATCCCAAGCTCTTTCTGGACCCTGGAATTTGGCATCCCCTAGGCCCTGGGTGGAAGGACAGATGAACCAGATTTGAGATAATATATCTAGAATAGAGTGAGGCCCTACTGTGTGCCCAGCACTTTCCCCACAGGATCCTCTAGCTAGAACATCCAAGGGTCATGGAGAGAAATACCCTATTAAAATATCAGAAATGAAAAAAGAGATACCATTAGAGACACTAAAAAGACCATTAGGTAATAGTATTAGCATTTGTGTTCTGAGATTCAACAGCAGCAGTCACTTCCCTCCACCCCTATGTGTGTCCCAGACCACCTTGGGCGAGGAGGGTTGAGGTCAGGGAACACCCATGGATGCTCTGATGCTGGTCCTGGGCCTCGGGGGTGATAGTGATGAGGAACTGGGTGCACACATGAGTGGGGCAACCAGGCATGGCCAGAGAAGCCACACACATGTGCACAGATGTGTTTACCCATGTACACGTGTGCACGCATGTGCACAAACACATTGCAGGCAGGTGTTTTGACGCCTCAGGCAGCGGAGGACCCTGTCTCTGGGCGCTGCTGACCCGGGCAGGGCCCCACTGTGATGCGTGCCATGACCTCAGAATGTCACTGGTGCTTAGCACCAATCCGCTCTCCGGCCTGCCTCTGTGTTCTACAGCAGCCACACACACACAGTGGTATCTGGGAATACTTTTGTGGACTCAAAGATTTTCTACCTGAGAGGCATAACGCAGGCCAGCTGATTCATCAGAATCAGGTGAGTGTGACCTGCTGTCTTCCCTCCAGGCTGACGTGGGGACAGTGGCTATGCTGTGGGTGGTGTTGGCCTCTGGGCAGCTACCGAGGAGGGTCATCCCTAAGTACTCACCGGGCGCCCGTTCTACACTGCCCGTGTAGAAGATTGGCTCTTTCGTCCTCATGGTGGCTTCATAGAGTGAGTGCCGTTCCCTAGTGTACCCATTCGACAGATGAGACGTCTGGGGTTAGAGAGGCGGTAACCGGCCTGGGAATCCAGACATGAACCTGGGTTTTGCTCTCAGCCCTGCCGTACGCTGTGCTGGAATTCAGGCCGGAACCCTGTGACCTGCCTGCTCTAGATCCCAAATCTGCCCAGGTTTCCGATCCTGATGGGGCAGAGCCTGGCCCTGGCAGAGCCACTGGGACGGATCCACTGTGGATGGGGGGAATAGGAGGGTCCTCAGAACACCTCTGTGCCCTAAGCTGGGTCCTGATGGTGGCTGTGGGCCTCACTGAACACACATGGTCCCTTGTCCAGGGGAGCCTTCTGCCCTTGGGCAGTTGTGGAAAATGAAGGACCCCTAGAGGGCTGGCTGGGGGGAGACCATCTTCCCTTCTATTCAAAGGGGTCCAGGCCCTGGGGTTCTCTACATGTATTTCTTGCTCTGTCTGGTCCTCTCGAGGCCTCGCCCTCCTTTTGCCCCAAGTGTTCCCAGGAGGGACTGTCTATCCAGGTGTTCTCCAGGACCAAGGACCCACTGTTCTTCCTCAGCGACCTGGGAAAATGAAGCCCCCTCCTGTAGGGACAGCTCAGAATGGTGGAGTCTAGTCCCTCCCCGAGTGAGGGTTTCCCCTAGCACAATAGATCATTTTCATCCCCCAAACCGAACACCCTCCTGCTCAACTGGCATTATTCCTAAAGTGGCTTCACTGTTCAGACTGAAGGGCCACAGGAGCCAAAGTGATGAGCAGAGTAGAGCAGAGCAGTCAGGAGAGATCTTGTTCCCTGTAGGAAACTGGGCATCTCTGTGGTCCCTGAGCATCCCAGGAGGCGGATTGTACAGAGACCTCTGGTCGCTGACCTCAGTCTCCCTCCACATCCCTGGAATAGCCCATCATGGGCCTTTCACCCTTGGCAGGTGGACATCATTCAACCTGCTGGGGCAGGTGTGTCCCCATTTCATGGCATTTGGGGATGACGGGATTCTCTGTCCAGGTCCCACTGTCCTCAAGTCCTTGGGATGATGCCCACACCTGCTTGGGGCTTGAGACTCCAGAGACTCGTGCAGGTGTGGGCCACTGAGTCTGGTCCCCTTTTTACCTGGGGACAGTGGTGGAATGGGGGTTACACAGCCAGCCAGCATCTGGGAGCCTGCTGGGAACGGTTCAGGTTTTCCCTGAAGCTCTCAGGTACAATGTAACTTTTAGATGATTTTGTCTCACAGGATGGTAATCATAGAGGATGCAGATAGTTTGTGGGCACAGGAGCGAGAGAATATCATCGTGAACTATGAGAAGGTACAGGTTGGTCTGCTCCTTGGAGGGAGGCCTCTTCCAGTGCGCCCTGGTCAAAGGGTCCTGGGCTCCCTAGGAGCACAGAGTGGGCACGGGTGGCCACTACCCCCAGGCCCTTGCACCCTTTACCTTGGACCCCTCACCAGGCCTCCCTCTGGGTTACAGGGACACCGAGCTGGGCTGCTAGAGGACATGGGGCCTGAGCCTGTTGGAATCTACAACAACATTGATCGCTTCGGGATTCTGCAGTGAGTCCTCTGTGCTCCCCTCACCCCTGAAGCACCTGTCTCAGCTCAGGGA